TCGGATTCAGGAGGAGCTTCAAAGCTACCTCGTCACATGTATAAGTAGTACAACGCAAAGACCAGAACTCCCCATTCTGGTCTTCTTCAATAGCCATTGCGCTTCTTCCTCTCTCTCTCTTCCTAAGTGTCAAACACTTCGCTCACTTGTCTCTAGTAGAGCAAGTCGACCCTCGCGTGCGCCTAGTGGAGTCAGCCCTAGTGCCCTTACAATCACGTGCATTACAGAGCCGTGTATTTGTGTCACGTGACTATCAAAGAGTCACGAAGATCTGCTAAGTCGTTGAACACCCTTCTTACGGTCCAAGCCGGACTCACGCCAGTGGCGGCGTTACATGAGAGGAAGCACGGGAGCGTGCCTGTGTGGTTCCACATGTGCGTGTCGAGCCCACTGTCAAAGTCATCCTCGTCGGAAGAGGAGCCATCGATGTTTGTGTCACCTTCACCCTGCCTGTCCACTTTTTCTGGCGGGGCACATTGTGGCAGTGTTGTGGTGGGCTTGGGACATGGCGCCTGTATGCCAGGGAAATGCACCAGAGAGGTAGGGACAGGATCCTGCTCCTGGTGCTGACGTTGAGGCCTTGAGGGAGACGAGCAAGAGAGAGAGGTGCATGGTGGTGTAGGTGCGGAAGACGAAGGGCCTGTTTCTGTCGGTCTTGCTGTCGGTACAACACCATGAGAGACCAAAACCAAGCCCAAGATGTCATGCATTGACAACCTGATACCAAGATTACTGAAAAAAAAGAAGGAAAAAAAGACTGAAAATGTTCGAATGAACCCAACGCAGAGACAACAAGGGTTGGAGACAACTCAGACAAGCCAGAGCCCTTTCTGGACCAACGGGCCAGTTTCCAGATGCCCAAAAAGTAAATTTTTTTAAGGACTTTCAGCCAACCCCTGGCATTGGGTCACGGAACCACGGTCCGGACCCCCCTTGGGACAGGCCCTAATTTACGTCATTTTCCCTAACCCTTAACCGGATAACCCCTCATAGCACGGACTGTCCACTATGGGTTATGAGGGGTTTGACTGTACCCAGTTAGGGAACATGCCGCGACGGAGCCTGAGTGTGGTGAATCCCTAATTCCGAGTCTAATCTCGTCTGTTGTGTTCCACCATCACGTTCTTGACATCTCAGATCTCAATCATCTCAGCAAGGAGGACCCACGGTGGGAGCGACGGGTCCTGTCTGCCAGTCCTTCGGCAAGTTAAGAAAGCCAATCACAATAAGTGAAGACGACCGACAGAGTCGGCCCTCGCTGCCTTGCTGTGATCAATAACCAGGTGCAGTGCGACACGACCGCCAACACCTGCTCAGTGCCCGTTCCCGCTCCGGGCTTCGCGCTCGTCTTCCTGACCAGCGACTCACTCAGCGCGACGAGCCCCGGCAGCAGCTCCGCGTCGGCGCCGCGCGCTACGCTTCCTGGCGCGTTCGCCCTGTTCGCTGCCGCGCTGGGCGCAGTCGTGGTCGCGCGGAGGTGGTTATGAAAGACGGATGGGCTTGTTTATTGTGTATGTATTCGTCATTACCAACGGACCAGGGCCTGTTCGCGAGCACACCAATACCGTGGGTCTTTGCATTTCAGACGTCCCCTGGCTCGGGATCGCCGTCAAAGGTGCCACTTATTGCGCTAACATAAGTTACGCTCGTGGACATTCGTTTTCACGTGCTTCCCTTGATCAGATTGAAAGTTTAAATGTCATAGTCAGGATTACGTTTTGCGAGTATCGTTCGTAACAATACAATCACAACTCAACGACGACACAAGTACAGTAAGTTATATATCTCCCTAGCAGTGTCACCGCAACCGTGCATGATGTCTACTCTACGCACGTCGCGGCGTTCTTCTTCGCCTGCCCGATTAAAGGTCAACGTGGGTCCCTCGTGAAACCGTGATTCCTTCGCCCTTGTCGTCGACAGAGCTTTTCTCGTCTTTCTCACTGTCTCCTTCAGCTAGCGTGGCGTTTTTCCCTACGTATACACGAGGTCCATGGTAGTGTCGGCGACCGCTGCGAAAGTAAGTCAGCACTGTTCGTGCACTTTGTTCGTAGAGTATCACGTACTCTATGAAGTACCAGATCCTGGCACGCAAGTCGGCTTCAGCAGAACGCCAGAAAGGAAGCGTGCGTGATCACGTACATGGCTAGAAGGGCGATGCCGCCTGTAATCACTGACGCGTAGTTCATCGAGTTCTTCGTCACGGGCAGAATTGTCGGCAAAGAGAAAATGACCGAGACGAATAGCGTCCACACGATACAGTTGATGTTGACCGCCCATCCGAACCATCCATCTCCCATGTAGAACGGCCCGGGTTTGAACTGCACTTCTGGGTGATGCTGATAGATGCGGCGGAGCGCTATCGGGATGATGTATGAAATGTCGAGGGCCATGGCGGTGAGTGAAAAGATGGCGTTTACTGCAACAGGGGAGGCAAGACCTAACAAGCCGGGGAAGATGCTGAAGATCGTAGTGAACCAGATGGCACGCATGGGTGTGTGTGTCCACGTAGAAATGTGACCGAAGTAACCATTGTCGGGAAAACCTGCATGGGCGGGTGAGTGAGTATTGGTACGGGGAGGGGAGAGTCGTACCGCGGTCCCGGCTAAATGCAAAAACCATCCGGGAGCAAGCTTGGAGAGCAGTTTGACAAACGAAGAAGGCCGTGAGGCAAACAAGTGTCTGAAGACAATCCAGTTACGCTCAAATAAATGTTTACGGCACATACCCAGAGGAACAGCGCCGTGGGTTTTCCCATGCGTAAAACCATGATCTAGGGGTATATCGATAAGACATAGATGGCACAAAGAAACCCGTCACGTACCTGAAGGAAGGCGGACCCAGATGGACCGGGGAGGTCCCCTCTGAAGGTGATGTCATCGAACGATGTAAAGAAAGAGTTGGCCCAGAACGCACAAAGGACCAGAGCACAGCACCAGCACGATGTTGAGTAGCCAACCAATGAGACCGGTCCCTATAACTACAGCGCAGGCTTGAGAACCGAGAGAATGGCCTCCTTACGTATTACTCACCGGCGATAACGATGGCGGCCGGCGCTTGAATTAAACTATAAGTAGAGCGCTACAAGTTGGTCTACTGTATGCCTACCAGCATAGGAAGCACGCTTGACTTCCTCCCTATAGAGACATAAGATAAGCCGAGCCAAAGAATCAGATCACGTACGAAATGTGCGCTGTTGCGTCGTAGTCCTGTTCAAACCCATTAATATGTAGGAATTTGAGACCTTGAACCCAGAACGTACCGTCATCTGCGGGACAAGCTCATCAGTTCAAGCAAATTGGGAAACGGAAATCGTCTCTAACCGTCCATTGCACGCTGAGCAGTCCGAATAAGAATGCCAAGCCGCCGTTCCATCCGTTTGTCTGATTGACGAGACCATCCGAGCCGAACACATAGTTCGCGGAGTGCATGTTGTGCCGCCCGGTCGTCGCTAACAAGACGATGATAATAACTATGTATGGTGGTTATCGATATGAGCAAGATGGCATGATGGAGCTGCTGTCACGCACGGGCGGATGCACCAAGGTTGATGAATACGAATCCCTTCGTGAAAGTCGCGAGATGGCGCGTGGCAAAAGAGTTCTACACGACGCGAGCACAGATGGTCCGCAACCATACACGTTGGGAGCTGTTTAACCAACTGAAAGGCCTGAACTGGACGTACCAAGATCCCATTGAAGATCAATAGCGCAGTAAAGAGGCCGACGATTTTGCCAGAAGTGACCTCGTAGTCTCCATCCTTGGCGACGACGACGGCAGCCCAGATCATGACCGAAAGTCCGTATTCTGTCGATGCAAGCCCAGCAACTTGGCCAAGAGTGTTGAGCCAGCCAACAAGCCACCCAACCTCCACCAGGATGAGGACAAGTACTGTGTAAACATAGAAGGTACTTACAATGGGCCTGTGTTTCGCCGGCACGAGTTTGGCGGACGCGGTGTATCTATCACATGACCATTTGAGCGGGGGTGAGCCGTAGTCCGAGGAATTACGCACAAACCGCCGCAGGCGGGAAAGGCGCTGACAATTTCAGCAATTGACGCCCCTGCATACCGGCGTCAAACAGTGGAGTAAAGAAGGCGGAGAAAAAAACTCGCCTAGCGTGAAACACATGGTTGCTCCGAGGATCCAGCACCACGTTACCTATTGAGAATATTCTAATAGAATCATCGACGGATATGTGCGGAGCATCTTGCCGTACTGAGGAAGGACCACCTAGGAGCAATGGCGTATTGAATGTGGTCGCCACAGATGAGCACAGGCCCTTTGCACCGATATCAGTGGGTATGGCCTTAAGCACGGCGAGACGGTGTACATACCATGATACTGAATGCAAAGCTGATCTGAGAGGACGAAATTGACCACACACCCATAAGGAAATGGCGAAAAAAAGGGTGGGGTGCACATACCGTCGCAAGGTTGCTGAACTCTCGCTTGAAGGAGGGGACGTATCCCATGGCCTCAAGTTTCTTGTCATCTTCATCCCTGTAGTCAGTCGCGCCATTCTCATGATCAGGCATGTTGGAGGTAGGAGTGATGGCCTGAGGAGAGCAACAGCAATAGGATTCGGGACTCGGGAGATAGGGACCGTCAATGAAAAACGAAGTTCACCTGCCCCATTTAACCGCCCCATTTAACCAAAAAGACCGTTATCGAGAGATAAGAAGAAGTGTGACTTGGGCGCCCGTGGAGAAGATAGATGGTTTAGCAGAACCGATGTCATACGTGTTTAGTCCATCGATTCCAGAGAATGCCCCGGATCCGAGTTCCAGACAAGAGCGACCCTGAACACGCAGCTTCTCCGTCAAAATCAAATCGGCCGTGATACAGTACCACACAAGAGGGCCATAGAAAATTTACCAAACAAAGCAACAAACACGATCGTTGATCAAAGTTCTATTCCACGTTTACCCCGAAAGGTTTACCCCGGAAGGAAACCTGACGCCCCAGGTCCTTGTATGGCAACACTTTGCCTCAAATCATCGCCCGCCTAGCTCAATCGGATAGAGCGTCAGACTCTTATGCGGGTGTTGATCCATGGTGATCTGAAGGCTGCGAGTTCGACCCTCGCGGTGGGCTACTAGTTTTCTTTTTCTTCTCTGCTAATGCATCTGTGATTTGTCACGATAGGGGCTAGTATCAGTGACTCATAGTGACTCAACTTTAGTGACTCAACTTGCTACTATAACTTGCACAGTAGTGGGCTGAGGTCCCCCAGACCTGTCTTTGTCTTTACCAGTCTCTTCCACATTCGAGTGCTCCTTTCTTTGTCTTCCATTCACCCTCCCTACCCTTGGTCTTGGTAGGACCTTCGGAGCTTCTGCACTCTGAGCTATATCAGAGTGTTGCACTCTCACCAAACTCAAGTCCAGTCGACTTGGGCGCATCCTTGGAGGCCCGACACCAACAATTCATTTACAGTACGAGGTGATAGCTTGCATCCCCGGGCTAACAATCAACCCTATCTAAATCGCCAATCGATACCATACCCTGGCGCCAAAGGGTTAGCGAAATACACACAGCCCCGAGCCCCATCAGCCCACACACTCATAGTTACACATCTCAAAAGTGGACTGGAGAGACCCACAATACATCGCATTCCAATTACCGTCCCCGGAAAAAGTTACTACTACCGTAACCCTAATGGCCAGCAGAGTGCTACGCGGCAACCCCCAAATATTCGATGGCACCTACACAGAAAGCCGAGGATTCTTGGTGGCTACACAGCTGTATTTGAGGACGAACAATGTCGGTGACGAAGCCCAGAGAGTCAATATCGCCCTCAATCATATCCGTGGGGAACGCGTGGGCAGTTGGGTCGCCGGCAAGAGACGCTGGCTGGACGCAGTATCGAACGATTCGGCTCTCCTCCAGGGACAAGACATCTGGAGTGCATTCGAGGATGATTTCCTCATGGAATTCGCCGATCCCGCGGAACGCGCCAAAGCCCGAAAGGAGATCGAAGAAATCAAGATGGAAGGAGTAAAATTGGACGCTTACATCCTAGATTTTTGCCTCCTCGCGCGTTTGGCACTATACGACCCGGACGCGCCCTACGTTATTCACCTTTTCCTGCAAGGACTCCCTGCCGACCTGGTGCGGTGCTGCATCGATCGCGACCTACTTACATCTTTCGAGGATTGGGTCGAAGCCACCACAAATGCCACCTAAAGTACCGTCATATCCTTAAAGTCATGACCGCCCCACCACTCTCAAACGAGGAGGCACTTGTTCTGAGGCGAGCTGAAGAAATGGCGGCGCGAGACCCGAGTACGACGACGCGGAAGAATGGCCTTACCGAGCAGGACAAGATCCGATACAAACGCGAAGGGAGGTGTTTTCGCTGCAGCCAACAAGGGCATTTTTCGAAGATGTGCCCACGAAAACAAAGGGGGACGACGTCACGGCCGATAAGGAACGAGACACAGAGCCCTCCTCTCACGGCCATCGAGAGGGCTTGGCTTCAACTTCGTGCGTTGCCAATCGAGGAAAGAAGAAAGTACGTTGAAGGCATCAAGAAGACCGGAGGGAGCTTTGGAACCGTGAACCGAACACAAGCCCAACCTCCCCGGTGAGGACTGGCGTGGCTGTAGTCGACGACGGTGACAAAGGCCATGAGCCGACCTCAAGCATGGCCTCGCCGATGAGGCCTGTGAGGACCGGCGTAATCGCAGTCGACGACGGCGACGAAGACAGTGAACCGACCTCAAGCCCAACCCCGCCGATGAGGACCGGCGTGACGATAGTCGAGGATGACGACGACGACGACGACGAAGCATTCAGGTTTTTGAACCGTGGCCCGTCCTCAAGCCGTCCCTCGCCAGTGAGGTTTGAGACGACTGGGATAGCCATAGTCGAGGGAGCCTGGTGAAGGTCATATTACTAAAAAAAGCAGCCAAAACAATGGTCTCATTCTCCTGGTTCCGTTTGCATCTGTACGTGTTGCCTCGTTCGTGGTCTACAGAGTTTCGAAACGAATTGCTGGCGGTGTCACATCCTCTCGAATGTACGATAATGACTCAGCAGAGTAGTACGAGTTTGTATTTGCAGCTTCAACTTGAAGAGGATATGCAAGAGAATTTCAGCAGTCTCTCGGTTTCCGTTACCTCTGAGTTTGGGGCTCTGCCTCACGCGGGGGTGTGGAGATGACAGCACAAGGCGCACAAAATTGAGTGTGACCACTGTCTGTTTTTTTTACTATGTACATTGCCTTCGAGGCTAGATAGATGGCGTCAAAGCTTGCGTCAAAGAAAAAAAAACGTGAAGAAGCACCGATCGAGAGCAGGGGTCTGCATGAGGTCATTGAGTCAGTTACCGCCTGTATGGTCATGCGCGACTCGCGACTTGCTGAACACTGAAGTATGAACCAATGCAGGACAAAATATATCGAGCAGATATGAACTTTTAGAATGGCAGTGCTCATTGTCCTTTTTTTGTGAAACTCGTGGGACGAGAACGCCAAGGACGTTGAAACTGTAAAGGCGGCTGACAGAAACCGTTCGTCCATGTGTCAAAAGTCTTGGCACTTAGTTAAGCAAACCTTCTCCAACCACCTCAAAACCACTGTATCGCCGTGCATATGCCAGATGGACCGAGGCTCGCTGTTTCGAAGGCTCGACAATGTCCCTTATTGAACCCTATCGCCTGGTTTCGTCTCGTCTGTACGGCGCCAAACGCGAGTGATCGAACCCGAAGCAGCCGGATCGGCATACTGGAATTAGACGCCGGTAGCTCCACCAAGATTCCAATCCTCATCGGCTCATACATGAATCTGACGTACCCCGACACCGGACTCGTTGCATGTCCCTCTTATCCTCGCCCCTCGCACACGACTAGCAGATGCTCACTCCTTCCCTTATTACAAGTGGCCCCATGCCAGGCCGGCGACACTCCTCTGACCCTTTTCCATGTCCTCGCACCACCACACCAGCAACGGCCACCACGAGTCGAATCTCTACGGGTTTTCGGTCGTCCGGGAGGAAAACCGTGCGTCGTCCTGCGCTCATCTTATCTCGACCCTAATATGTTCACACAGACTGTCGCTGGCGCCTCCCGCTATGGCTCCTCCTCTTTAGCGGGATGGTATCCGTCCTCACCCTTTCCTTCCTCCTGACCGGCACGGTGTACCCAAATTCATGGACGCGCTTCAGTTCTGAGTCCATGGGCATGTTCTCGCCTGCCGAGGGTTTCTACCGCCCTGGACACCCCCCATCAACCTTCGACGGCGCAGCTTCAAATATGCTAGAACCTGTCAGCCACGCTGCGCCCGACTTCTTCGCGCGAATATCGAGGAGTGGAGACATTACCATGGCACCAAGGAGCATCGGTCGCCCGTCCTCCTGTGGGCCAGCGACCCTTGTCGACAATTCCGTACGTATTGCATTGCGCATATACGTGTCCGTTGCTCATTCGTTGCAATCGCTGGCTCTGGTTTTGGGTTTATGATGTACAGGTTTCCCTGCTCGTCCAGGTCCGCATGCCACACGACACACCACGTGGCGCGCGATGTGCGGTCACATCTGGCATCACGCTGGCGCGGCGGCTCGAGGCCGCGGGCAAAGCCGCGCGGGTGCAGATGTGGTCCCTGGCACAGGCGGACGCCAGACGCGAGCACGTGGGGCGACTCTCGGCCACGGCGCGAGGCACACGTCTCAAGCTTCGACGTGAGACCGGGTGAGGTGCGGCTGCATTCCGCGGAGTTTGGGTGTCCGCCGCCGGCGCAGTCGGTACAGACGTTCGAGGTTGCCTGTGCGGGCGGTGACGACGACGACGCGTGCGCTGTGGATGTGTGGCAAGACCTTTTCAGAGTTGAGATCAGGGCGGAGGGCATATAATGAGAGGCTGTGCTGGCTGGTGGCCGTCGGTTCGCAGGCAGAAGGGTCCGGATTCTGGCGGTGATTTCGGCTCTGGCCACCTGCAATCTGGGTTTAGGGTTGAAGTGTATGTACGCTTGCTTCGGAAGTTCACAATTCTTATAGCATTATTGTGTAAGCGTCACCTTGGATGTTGCTTAGTTAGGAACACGAGTACTGTATCACGATTGTCCTCTTCTGCTGGCTTTTGGTCTGGTCAGTGCGGCCAACGAGAGGAGACTCCTTTAACTTGCTTTTTGAAATTGTGCTTGGCTGAATATGGTAAATCGCCAGAGAGAGATGGACGTTGTCGATGAAACAAGATCGGATCTATGATAGCCCGTATGCATGGCTCTGACAAATGCGGTCAACTCTGTTTCGACTGTCTACGATTCGGAGGCCGAGTCGGACCACGATGTGCCTTGCTAGACACGATGGGACGTGGTCCCTGATTCTATTATTGCTGAGCAACTCTCGAGCATTGTCTCGGGCAAGAGCCCCACGGGCCCCACCCTTGTATCACAGGTCCAATCAGTTCGGCATTGACTACCATTGACTACCAGTACTGTACGGTTGCCCATGTGGTGCCAAACTAGAGAGCGGGAACAGTGAGGGCCATCCATTGCTACTCTTTGCCTTGGAGATTTCCCCGTGCCTGCGGCACTCAATGTGTTTAATCCTTTGGGACTAGACATTGTTGTACGGGGTCCACGTAACCCAAACCAACAACACCTCACTACGCAAATATCGTGTATGCGGAGAACCACATCTCTCATAAGATACATGCTGCGGGAGTACCAATGCGGGTCTCAAAGAAACAAACGAGGTGAAGGTATGCGTTCGTGGGGTCAAGAAGCAGTTGAGTGCCAACCTTGGACGTGATATGGTCTTGACTAGACGAATGACGGTAAGGTACTCCATCAACCGACGCCTGAACTTTTCGGGGTGATAAATGAGTCCGCGTAGAACTCTGACTTAGAGTTAACGTGACAATCCGATATCGCGTGAGGGCCTCCGCTTCTGAGTTGATGGCGGCGGGAGTCCGGGCAACGATGTATGCCATTGGTGCTGGGAAGAAGCCGGTAGGTTAGGGCAAACGTAACTAAGGAGGTGGGCCCTACGCACGTCGGTCCTTATGACGCCGAGCTCAGCGTTCTGAAAATGGAAGCACCTGAAGTGGCAGGGCTACCCGGGGAGAGCAACTTTAGTTCATCTGCGTCCTCAAAG